GAAGGAAGAAGTCCAAGCTGCACTGAAGGCACTGGGGAAAAACAAGGCACCAGGAATTGACAGATTACCAGTTGAGTTGTTTCAACAAATGGATGCAACACTGGACGTGCTCACTTGTCCAAGCCAAGAAACTTGGAAGACAGGTACCTGGCCAACCAACAGGAAGGAATCCATATTTGTGCCCATTCCAAAGAAAGGCAATCCAACAGAATGTGGAAATCATCAAAAAAAATTATTAATATCACACAAAGTAAAACTTTGCTGAAGATAACTCTAAAACAGCCATTGATAGAAGAATGAAGAAAACCAAAGACACAGGGAAATAATTAGTCCAAGGGACTAGTGGACCATGCTAACTTCAGCCTATGTGACCCTAAGACCAGAACTAGATGATACCTGGCTACCTTCCACTGTCAACCACTCGGAAATGGATCAGTGTAGGAGATCCTGGATAGAATTGGACAAAAATGTAGAATAAGACTCAAAATCATAAAAAAAAAAAATGACCAGCCTTACTGGTCTGACAGAGACTGGTGAAACCCTAAGATTTTGGCCCCTAGTCACCCTTTGGTCTTGGAACTGAACTCACTCCTGTCGCTTCCAGCCAAACAATAGGGAGGCATATAACGTGAACATTTATACCAGGTAGGTTCACTCCTTAGAACAATCAACCATGGGAGATCAGAAGGACAGTATTTGCACAGGGAGACAGCTAAGAGGGCAGAAATGCATAGCAAAGAAGGACACAGGGAAGAAGTAACCACTGGGAGGAAGTGGGAAGAGAGGTGTTACACTATGGGGATTGCAGTCAGTGTCATGAAACAAAATGTGTATGTTGTATGGAAAATGAATTTGCTCTGGAAACCTTCACCCAAATCACAATAGTAATAATATTAATAATAAAGTTGACAAGGAACTGCCAGAAATTCAAACCAGATTCCAGAAGAGTTTGATGGGGAACAAGGTATATCACTACTGATGATGGATCTTAGCTGAAAGCAGAAAATATAAAAAAGATGTCTACTGTGTTTTATTGACATTCAACCATGTGGATCATAACAAATTATGGATAACACTGTAAAGAATGGGGATTCCAGAACATTAATTGTCCTCATGCAGAACTTGTACATAGACCAAAAGACAGTTATTCAAATAGAATAAGGGGATACCATGTGGTTTAAAATCAGGAAAGGTGTGTGTCAGCGTTGTATGCTTTCAACATATTTATTTAATCTGTACACTGAGCTCTGGTAAGCGTAGTGCCTAAGGCATTGGACTGCTAACCACAAGACTGGCAGTTCAAACCCACCAGCCACTCCTCGGAAGAAGACTGGGCAATCTACTTCTGCAGTGATACTGCTTCGGAAACCCAAGGACGGGTCACTATGAATTGGATCCAAGTTGATGGCAGTTGAGTTTGGTTGTTTTGGTTTGTACACTGAGCACATGATCCAAGATAATGGACTATATGAAGAACACGGCATCAGGATTAAAGGAAGACTCATTAACAACCTGCCATCTGTACGTGGTACAGCCTTGCCTGCTGAAAGTGAAGATGGCTTGAAATACTTACTGATGAAGATTAAAGACTACAGTCTGTAGTATGGATTACAGCTCAACATAGAGAAAACAAAATTCTTCACAACTAGACCATAAAGCAACATCACGATAAACACAGAAAATCTTGAAGTTGCCAAGGATTTCATTTTACTTGGATCTACAATGAACACCCATGAAAGCAGCAGCCACAACATAAAACAACATACTGCGTTGGGCAAATAGGCTACAAATGACTATTTAAAGTATTGAAAAGCAAAGATGTCACTTTGAGGACTAAGGTGCACCTGACCCAAGCCATGGTATTTTCAATAGTCTCATATGCATGCAAAAGCTGGATAATGAATAAAGTAGGACCAAAGAAGAATTGATGCCTTTGAATTAGGGTGTTGGTGAAGAATACTGATTGTATCACGGACTGCCAGAAGAATGAACAAATTCATCTTGGAAAAAGTACAGCCAGAACACTCCTTAGATGTGAAGATGGTAAAACTTCATCTCATGGACTTTGGACATGTTATCAGGAGGGACCAGTCCCTGGAGAAGGACATCATGCTCGGTAAAGTAGAGGGTTAGTGAGAAAGAGAAAGACCTTCAATGAGATGGATTGGCACAGTCACTGCGACAATGGGCTCAAACACAGCAAGGACTGTAAGGATGGCACAGGACCGGGCAGTGTTTCCTTCTGTTGGACACAGGAGGTCACTGTGAGTCGGTACTGACTTGATGGCACCTAACAACAACACCTACAAGATGTTCCTGAAAACACGGGCAACTCAGCAGCCAAAGGCATGGCCATTTCCCACTCCTCTCCGCTGCCACCACATCTTTGTAATCATACTTAATGCCTGAGGAAAATGTCTATTGATACCAGTAACACAGCTACCGAAACCACACAGAGCTGGTTCAGCCAGCCTGGCCAATCATGAGAGATTTCATCAGTGAGTAATCTAGCCCCTGGGAAAACCAAACACATCTTCTCTGGACACCTAAGGAAGGATGAAGGACAGAATTCAAACACTAGCATGGCCGAACTCGTCTGCAGATAAGACCTATTCGCCACCGTTTCGAATTAGAAAAAGTTCTTCATGCTTCAAATGTACAAACTAATATTAAATATGAATAAATCACAGAAAGAGGGTAAGATAAATCAAATCCTCAGCCCTTCATGAATTTTTAAAGACATTTGTGACAGAAAGCCTTTATATTTCACACGGTTACATTTTTATTTAGTGCTGGAGGGCTTTCTACATTAGATAAAAAAATGAAACCCAAAATAACATCCCGCCCCTCCACTGCTAAGTATTCAAACTAATAACATTTTATGATTCCAAGAAAACATCAGGGAGGAAAAAAGCTTGATGTTACTCTGCCATAAGGTCAAATTTGATGAAAAGCTGTTCTTAGGATTATCTTGAAAAATCAGGCATTGACACTAAAAATAGAAGCTCTCCAAGAATCGCTTGCATTCCCTTTTACACTTCTAATAGCATCCCCAACCATCCCTGCCAATCTCTCTCTCTCTCTTTTTTCTTTTGGAGACGAGAATAATAAAGAATCACTATTGCTAACACATTAGGAAGAAGAAATCAAAAACATAATGTACTTTGGTGATTAGTGACAGGGGAGAGGAGACACCAGGATATGTAATGCTGTTGTTGTTGTTGTTATGTGCCCTTGAGTCTGACTTGACTCACAGCGACCCCTCCTTGGGTTTCCGAGGCAGTATCACTACGGAAGTAGCTTGCCCAACTTTCCTTCTGAGAAGTGGCTGGTAGGTTTGAACTGCCAGCCTTCTGGTTAGCAGTCAAGTGCCTTAGGCATTATGCTACCAGAGCTCCCAGGATATGCAAGAGGAAACATTATTCCAAGCTGAACTTCGTTTGCTTTCAAAAGGAAATTAGACATCCAATGGTTTGAGCCTTAAGCCATGCCTTCCTTTAGAGTAACCTGTGCAGGATGTATATTCTTACAATTTCCCCTTAAATGATAAAAAAAAAAAAAAGTACTGCTCCTCATCTCTGATGACCCAGCTAACTAGTCCATTCAAGCTAATGGAAAGCAAGAAAAACTACCTCCATAAAGAGAAACGAAGCCCTGATACATGCTACA